ATAAGGCACTTGCCTAGCTTGTAGGCCACCCTGGTTCCATCCCTGGCACCACATAGGATCCTTGCGCAGCCAGCAGGGGGCCACCTGGGCACAGAGCCAGAAATAGTCTGGGAGTGGCCAAGTACCACCCACCTCCCAGGAAAGCAGTAGTGTAGCTAAAGGGAGCTTATATACTGACCAATCTCCAGGGATGGAAAGTCTTCATGGTAGGTCTCATGGCAAGGGGACACCGAGTCAGGTAAGAGATGAAAGTGATGTTCACGGTGGAGGGGACAGACCAGGCAGAGGGAAGAGACATTGGAAAGAGGTGTGTGTGTGTGTGTGTGTGTGTGTGTACGTGTGTACGTGTACATACATGCAACCCTGAAATATATTGGATAGGGAAATCCCAAACTCAGACAGGAAGTCCAGGTCTTGCTGAGTGGCTGAGACAATTCAACAGTGTGTCAACGTCGACTGCCCTTCCCCCAAAGCCTACTTCTCTACCTCCCAACCCCTTCATGACTAGAAGCATCCTACCCACGGTAGTATGGCTCTGGCCCCTCCAGTAGCCTTCTAATTGATTTTTTAGGGGGGGGTCACGCCTGGCAATACTCAGGGGTTACTCCTGGCTCATGCACTCAGGAATTATTCCTGATGGTGCTCAGGGGACCATATGGGATGCCAGGGATCAATCCTGGGTCAGCTGCATGCAAGGCAAGTGCTCTACCCACTGTACTATCAGTCCTATCCCAATTCTAATTGATTTTGTGGCCACCAATGTCTTTTATTTACATTTCTTTTCCCAGTATTGCCAGTGTAGTCATTATGAAAAATAAGACTGTCTATTCTTTTATTTTTAGCAAAAATAAGGCCATCTGAGAAGCTCTGTGGATTCTGGCTTACTTAGTCCAGCACGTTAACTACTTCTTTCAAGTTTATATCACAGCTTTTCTCTATAAGCGAACTGTTATTCATAATGAATTTTTCACATTTTCTCAAATAAGCCTGACCTGTTCTCCATGTCACCTTATCTTTTAATAAACTTCCATACATAATAGAAAAGTCAGCTCCAAAGCAGTCTCTCTGAGAAATCTCACCTCTTTCAGAGAGAAGTAATGATTCCCTCCTTAGCATTCCCAACTAATTTGGCATTTCAGCAGCTTTGGCGACAGCAGTGCAGTCATCATCATAACTCACTGTGAGGGCTTACGTGCCAGGAGTTGGGCTAAACACTTGATTTAATTCACTTCATTCTCACATTACTCCCTGTCTCAATTTTTATAATAACACTTGGCACAGTACATTGTTATTTTTATTCACATTTGTCTTTCCTGCTAACTTGCAGAAATTCCTGCCATAGGATATATCTTGGCAATGTCAGTGCCTTTTTAAGAGCTAACTTATTTTAAGTACTCAGTAACTGCTGAAAGAATGTGTGAATATAAGCGGTCCCACTTGGGACCTTTCCTTCTCTCTTTCTTTTCTCTTCTCTCTCTCTCTCTTACTCCCTCCCTTCCTCCATCTCTCCCTCTCTTCCTCTCTCCCTCTCTCTCTTGCTTCCTAATTTTGGGCCATACCCGGTGGTTCTTAGGGCATACTGTTGGCTCTGTAGTCAGGGATCACTCCTGGCAGGGCTTGGGGAACCATATGGTGTGCCAAGGATTGAACCTGTGTGAACTCTGGGCAAGATAAGCATCTTACTGCTATGCTATTGTTCTGGCCTCCTTTTATACTTTGTCTGGCAGTTATGACTCAAAATTTTTGTTTCAAATTTTTCTTCAGAGGCTTGAATACTTTATTTAGAATATCTTCAGTTATGGGCCAGAGAGATAGTACAATGGGCAGGGCATTTGGCCTTGTATGTCAGGTTCAATCACTGGCATCCTGTATGGTCTCCAGAGCACCACCAGGAGTATTTCCTGACTGCAGAGCCATGAGAAACCCCCAAACATTGCCAGGTGTGACTCAAAAACAAAACAGAAAAAGAGTACCTTCAATTAAAGGAGATCTAGAAAGAGATATAAGTCACTTGGAGCTAAGTTTGGTAAATAGGGTAATCGAGAAATAGCTTCTTCTTAAAAAAAAATCAGACAACAGTAGAATAACAAAGACTTTTTTTTTTCTTTTTGGGTCACACCTGGTGATGCACAGGGGTTACTCCTGGCTCTGCACTCAGGAGTTACTCCTGGCGGCGCTCAGGGGACCATATGGGATGCTGGGAATCGAACCCGGGTTGGCAGTGTGCAAGGCAAACGCCCTACCCGCTGTGCTATCTCTCCAGCCCCAACAAAGACATTTTGGCATCATTTAAAAAACAGTTCTAGATTATTTACAAAGAAAGTTCTGAATTATGATGTTACCATTTTTATTCTGGAGTAAGAGTAAAATTAATCTGAAATAGAATGATTGTTGTTTTGCAGTCACATTCAGTGGTATTCAGGTCTTACTCATAGCTTTGTGCTCAAGGGTCACTCCCAGCAGAACTCCGGGGCTATGTGGTGCGAGGGACTCAGCTTGAGTCGATTGGGTGCAAGACAAGCACCTTACCCACTGTCTGATCTCTCTGACTCCTGCAGTATATATATTTTTTCTTTTTGGGTCACACCCAGTGATGCACAGGGGTTACTCCTTGTTCTGCACTCAGGAATCACTCCTGTCGGTGCTTGGGGGAACCGTATGGGATGCTGGGAATCGAACCGGGGTTGACCGCATGCAAGACAAACGTTCTACCTGCTGTGCTATCGCTCCAACCCCTGCAATAGAAATTTTGATAGGACTAATACCTATGAAAATGATTAAAACACTCATTCAGATCAACATACAAATAAAGATACAAAATTCAATATGTGAACTTTTAAATACATTAGAGTGTAGAACTAGAGGGTAGTCATTCATTTGTATAACTCTCATAATATACTAGGCACTATGCCTAGAGTTGAAGATGTAACGTGAGTACATTTCAATCTCTTGTCCTCAGGAAATTTCTAGTATTGTAGTGATTACTCATTAAAATAATATACTAAAAGGCTGGAGAAATAGTACAGTGGGTAGTCTTCAGCAGCTGGATTTGATCCCCAGCACCACATATGGTCCCCCAGCCCTTGCCAGAAGTGATTCCTGAGTTCAGAGCTGGGAATAATCCCTGAACACCACGGGGTGTGGTCCCAAAACAAACCAAAAAAAATGAAAAAATAATTGACTAAAGTAAAATATATTTTAATTCCCAGCTTGAGAAATCATGTTGGGTATAAAGTGAGGCTGGGCTGGAGCGATAGCACAGCGGTACGGCATTTGCCTTACAAGTGGCCAACATGGCAGACCCGAGTTCGATTCCTCCACCCCTCTCAGAGAGCCCGGCAAGCTACCGAGAGTATCTCGCCCGCATGGCAGAGCCTGGCAAGCTACCCATGACGTATTTGATATGCCAAACACAGTAACAAGTCTCATGATGGAGACGTTACTGGGCCCGCTCGAGAAAATCGATGAACAACGGGAGGACCATGACGGTGACCCTTAAAGTGAGGCTATATATAACAAATGAGGTATTAGTAAGAGGGACAGTGTTAGTCTGGAAACCTTTCTCAGACAAAATTGACTTAAATGAGTTTTTTTTGGGGGGGAGGGATGGTAGGTCACACCTTAAAATACTAAGGATTATTCCTGGTTCTACGCTCAGGGGTCACTCCTGGTGGTGCTCAGGGGACCTTACATGGTAGTGCTGGGAATCAAAAGCAAGTTCCCTACATGCTGTGCTGTGGCTCTGACCTCGTAGTGAATTATTTTAATGAGCAATCACCACAATAATAGGAATTACCTTAGGATAGGAGACTGAAATTTACTCACCTTGTATCTTCAATATCGCTGGAGCAATAGCACAGCGGGTAGGGCATTTGCCTTGCACGCAGCTGACCCGAGTTCGATTTCTCCGCCCCTCTTGGAGAGCCCGGCAAGCTACCGAGAGTATCCCACCTGCACGGCAGAGCCTGGTAAGCTGCCCGTGGCGTATTCGATATGCCAAAAACAGTCTCACAATGGACACGTTACTGGTGCCCCTGGAGCAAATTGATGAACAATGGGAAGACAGTGCTACAGTGCTATATCTTCAACACCTAGGCACAGCTGTGGTCTGGTGTATTATATGGAATATATAAATGAATGATTGTCCTCTAATTCTTATCTCCTATTCTGTCTCTCTGACTTTCTCTTTTACCATCTTTCTTTCAAAACCCCATAGAAGGGGTTTTGAAAGAAAAGGCTTGGTATGGAGTGGCAACAAAAAGAGATTACTCAGAGAATAATCAGAGATTTCTTGATGAATATAGAACCAAAGCAGAGACAGTGCCTTGAAGGGTATTCCCCTAAGGCCATGGAGAGGCCTGATGAAGCATTGCTCCCTTATACCACAGAATATATCAATGTTGTTTATCAGATGGATAGTGCCAGATAAACATCTTTTTTGTCTGGCTTGTTTTGGGAAGCCACACACCCAGGGATGCTCAGGGATTATTCCTGGCTCTGCACTCAGGAATTACTCCTGGGGGGCCATTTGGGGTGTCAGGGATCGAACCCAAGTTGGCCACATCTTGAAATGCATGTGCCCTATCCCCTATATTGTCTTTAGCTCTGAAAACCTCTTTCAACTTCATTTTTCCTATTTTTATGCTAATAGAATTCTTCTGTTGACTCAAGTAGATAAAGGGAAACAGGAAAAAAAGTTTAATTGGAGCTTATATCAATTCTGAAGTCCCCTGTGGAGTAGCCCCTGTGCACCTCTGGGTACAGCCTACCCTCCTCTTCTCCAATCTATAAACCCCCCTTCATGATAAATAGGCACAACATTTTTTTATACTACTGGTACACTGATTCTCTTAATGCAATTTCTGCAGACAAGGGACTACTTTTAACAAGATCCAAGAATGAATCATTCTGTATCCTTTTTCTTTTCTTTCTTTTCTTAAACACTTTCCCCAGCATTGATGTCTGCTTTCTTTCTCCAGCGTTTGAACCTTCTCAAAAGGATGGGAATATCACTGTTCGCTGTCTGGGCCTTACTGGCTTTAATTCATTGCTCAGGTGAGATTCTCTGGGAATATCCTTAGTTAGGATGTGCCAGGGCATAAGTGGCTGGTCAGTGAAGAAGAGCAGAGGAATCCCTAAATGTAGGTGGCACACAAGGTTTTATTCATCTGGACATTTGAGAGAGATTCTCGTTGTTTGTGACACAAGGACAGACTTCTTAAGTGTTTGGACTTCTAGTTGGGATAACCCAAGTGAAGGGATAGGATGCTAGACCATTTTAGGGAGAGACCATTTCTCCCTATGAAATAGACCTTTTCTCTTGGGCTCCCTGCTTGCTGTCCAAGAACTGTTTTGTTGTTGTTGTTCTTGAGAGTCTTTTTACTTCTTTGATGCCCCCTTTTGTGTCTTAATAAGCTAGACTAGGATCTAGATAGAATGGAGCTTGTACCTCAGTTGTAAGAAAGTGGTTCTCCATATTATGACAAGGAAGGACCCAGAGCTTCAGTGAATGACATTACAACAGGAGTTTTATAGGATAAGAATTCACAAAGGGGACTGATCTTTGGGAGATTCAGTGTGTGGTGAACATAGAGTAGCTGAAGGGAAGCTTTCAAGAGACCATGTCTCACTTTTATCAGGCATCGCACGTTTTCTTGGTGGTTCCCAAACTGGACCTGAGATTTCCCCCAGAAGACTGAATTCCTAAGTTTCCCAAAATTCCCCCTAGCACCAAAGCAAAACATCTCGTTTTGAGAAAGTGGTAAAGAGTTCCTGGGGGAATGAGGGATCCTCCAAGATAGCCTTTTGGTTCCCACGATTTGCTGTGCGTCAGAGTCACATTGGGATGCCTGTTCACTGGCACATTTCTAGAGTTCCTGATTTTACAGGCCTTCTAGGTCATTCTGGCAAAGGCAATCTTTAGTTCATAATTGGAGAGAAACACTGCGATAAAATTTTCTTAGGGGTTTACTGCACCACGAGAACCCTCAGTAGTCAATCATGGGTGCTTCCGAGATGTCGAGATGTTTTGCCTAAGTTTTCTAGGCACAATTCTTAGCAATGTCATAGTTTCTGCGGTGATTCTAATTATGAATCAATATCTCAAGGAAGATGAGCAGAGGATGTGGCAGCAGAATCAGGGTTCTGAATTATTCAATAAATAAGGGCCTTTTTGATTGACTCTCCTGTGCCTTTTTTTTTTCCCAGTTCATGATAGATTTCCTTTTCTCTAAATAAGTAGGGTCTGGTTTTATTTGCGGGGAAGGCAGAATGGTGGAGGGCATGTTGTCCTCATCAGAATCTTTGGTGTGCGTGTTGGTCATTTTAGGAGGCACAGAAGAACTCTTTGAGGTTTCTGTGTGGCCAGATCCAGCCCTGGTAAAGTTTGGACAGTCCCTCAAGGTGAACTGCAGCACCACCTGCCTAGACCCTGGGCCCAGTGGAATTGAGACCATCTTAAGGAAATCCCAGATGGGCAGGGGACCTCAGTGGAAGGAATTTCTCCTGGAGGATGTCACAGAGAATTCCGTTTTTCAGTGCTTCTTCTCCTGCGCCGGAATCCAAAAAGCTATAAGTGTTGGCATCACTGTATATCGTAAGTGGGGCTGAGGACTGGGAGGAAGGGAAAGATGGGGCAATATGATCAGATCTCATTCTGAGAATAGTTGGAAATTTCTCTCTGAGTAGAGAAGTAGAGAGCCCTTAAAAAGATTCCTGTCCAGCTGTAGGATATCTAGAGTCAATGACTTCTATTTTCCTTTGGTACGGCTTTTAAATTAGGAGCAGGGTACAGGAGCAGAACATTAGACCTCTGTGCTCAATACTTATAAATGATCAAATAAGTAAAAATTAGTGCTGTATCGCTTGTTACGATATTCCAGGATAAACATAGATTGGATAAACATGGTCTTTGTAGACTTAGATAGTTGGAGAAATGTCATGGAAAAGGAGGAACTTGAACATCTCATGCAGAACAACTGGGATTAGAAGAGATGGGGATGGACAGGGAGGGTCTTTTAGGATGGCAAATAGGACTGGCAAAGGCATGATTGTAAGCACAAATGTGAGCTTTGTGTGCTCATAGCTTGGTTAGTGAGGACATCATTCTTGTGGGATGCAGAGGAGCTCCTTAGTGGCTGCTCATGCCTTTGAAATTCTGTAAGAGGGGAATGTACTCCAGAATAGCAACAAAACAAAGCAAGTGACCTCTCCACAGTCACATTTCTGAATTACCCCTTTAGCCACTCTGATGGGCAGAGAGCCAGAAGGTAAACTTACCCCATTTTGGGCAGTAGGCATCAGATGGCTGGAGGCTAGCCTTCACTTCCGGCACAGTTTCCTCTTTTAAATGATTTCTTTCTGGAAAAGTGAGTTGCTGTCTCTCACCAATACATTCTTTGTCTTCAAGAGCCTCCAGAGCAGGTGATCCTGGAGCTCCAGCCAACATGGGTGCCTGTGGGAGACATCTTTACAGTCAAGTGCTCTGTGGGCAGAGTCGCACCCCTGGAGAACCTCAACATTACCCTTTTCCAGGGTAATCAAAAACTTCGTAGAAAGGACTTTAGGAACTTGACTGTTGACTCCCAAATATCTGAGGTCACCATTGATGTGAGAGCCCAGAAAGAGTATGACAGATGCAATTTCTCCTGCCATGCAGAACTGGACTTGAGTTCACAGGGTGGAGAGTTCTTTCAAAGCAACTCAGCCGTCAAGATGCTTCGGATCTTTGGTAAGTCAGAGTCCTTACATGGGAGGAATCTGAGGCTTTTTCCTCCTCATCCCTTGTTCCCTGGGACTAAATTCCTATAAGATTTAAGATAGAAGACGTGAGGATAACTGAGCAGAGCATTTACTTAGGCTGTAAACTCACACCAGGGACAGAGATAAAGGTTTTATTCCTCACTTCCTACCCTAAGTATAGGGTTCTACATTGACATGACACTTGACTCGCATGAATTTTTTCCTTTCCTTTGTCTCGTATTTCGACAGAATTCTCTCAGAGTCCTCAAATATGGATCTCTCCACTTCTGGAGGTTGGAATGGCAGAGTCTGTGAGCTGTGAGGTGGTTGGGGTGTTCCCAGCAGAAGAGGTGATGTTCTCTATGTTGCTGGGAGACCAGGAGCTGAGCCCCCTTCTCTCCTGGGAGGGAGACACAGCACGGGCCAGTGCCACAGTTCGGGCCATGGAGACAGGTGATCAGGAGCTGTCTTGCCTTGTATCTCTAGGTCCAATGGAACAGGAAGCAAGAGAACCGGTACATGTTTATAGTAAGTACCTTGCCTCTTCCCTTCTCCTACAGGGTTCCCCGAGAATGAAAGGCTTAGGACAAATACCCTGCTAACCTTTGCTAGGTCTACTTGCAAGTGAATAATATTCATCTTCATCCTTGCTAAGTGCTGACCATTTAGAGACAGGCAACCTTCACCCTGTTTCCTTAAGCCATCTGTTCACAGGGATTGTGAATGCTTGAACCTGTCCCTAGGAGCTCTGATTCAAGGCCAGGGTAAAAAAGACATGCTCTCCATGCTCCAATAAATAGTCAGATGTGGGCAGACTGAATTTATTGTAGAAACTCTCAGATTCCTCTACTAACACAGTTATGCCTTTTACACACAAGCAAGAGTGATGCCCAGTCCTTCCCGACTCTATGTCTGAGTTACTAACAGCAGCATGAGTACAGAAATGCTGCCAGTTTTGAGAAACATGTTTACTCCTCTTTTTTTCTTTATAGGCTTCCCTCCACCAGTTCTGGAGATGGAAGAATTATACCCATTGGCAGGGACAGACATTAATGTGACCTGCACAGGGCATATATTAACGTCACCCAGTCCTACTCTTCGACTTAAGGAAGCCCCTGATCTTCCTGCTCCTGGGAATCCTGCTTGGCTTTTCCTTACTGCCACAGAGGAAGACGATGGCCGAAATTTCTCCTGTGAGGCCTCCTTGGAAGTTCAGGGTCAGCAGCTGATCAAAACCACTTCAATCCAGCTCCATGTCTTATGTGAGTAGATACTTGAATTAATTTTTTTTTCATTTTTTATAATTTTATTTATTGAATCACCGCGAGAGCAGTTACAAAGCTTTTGGGTCTAAGTCTCAGTCATACAATGAAACACCCATACCTTCACCAGTGCCCCTTCTCCACCCCCAACAACCCCAGTATACCCCCATCCCACACCCTCCCCCCACCTGTGGGGCAGATGATTTCCATGTTACTCTCTCTCTACTTTGATCACATTCAATATTTCAACACCAGACCCACCATTATTATTTGAGATTTTACACTCAGATATGCTGAAAAGGCAATAATAGACAATTTGTGTTCTATTGCTGGTTATGAATAACATATGATGTCGCATGGCTGCAGTAGGGCCATGTGATTTTGAAATTCCGAAATTTTAACACTTAAATCTGGAGGGATTACTGCCAAAAGCCACTGAGTTTCGAGATTTGCTCCTGAGTCTCTGGGACCATGGCTGTTGAGCTGCTTGATCAGGAGCCAGAGAGGCCGTTCGTGGGCCTCGTTGTGGTCTTGTGGTCTCGTTGGGGTGGGGAGGACAGGCCCAGCTCCACCCCATCCCATGAAGCCCAACAAGTTTCGTCACTGCGGGTCCAAGCTTGACTGTCCAATGGCCTCTGGAGGATGGTGGCCACCGAGCCGCCAGGGGGAGACAGGCAGAGGGACAGCACCCTTTCCCCCCTGGGGTGGCCCGGTGACAATAACCTACTGCAGGGTCTGGACACATTTCTGCCAAAAGCCGCTGGGTTTCGAGATTTGTTTCTGAGTCTCTGGGATCAAGGCTGTTAAGCAGCTTGATCAGGAGCCAGAGAGCCATTCATGGGCGATGACTTGGGGTCTCGTTGGGGAGGGGAGGACAGGCCCGGCTCTCCCCCCCCCCCCCCCGATCCTGTGAGGCCCAACAAGTCTCGTCACTGTGGGCCCAAGCCTGACTGTCCAATGGCCTCTGAAGGATGAGTGAGGCCCTGTGTGTCTCGTCACTGGTTGAATTAATTTTTTATACTTTATTTAAACACCATGTTTTACAAAGTTGTTCATCATGCTGTTGTTTCAGGCATTTGATGTTTCGAAACTAGTCACACCACCAGTGTGACCTTCCCTCCACCATTTTCCCCAGTTTCCAACCAACCTTCAAATCTGTCTCCTTAGCAGGCACAAAAAAATTTATTCCATACTGCCTGTTACAACAAAATGGCTAATGGAATCATCAAAAAAAAATCTGCAGTCAAAGAAAACTTTTTGTATCTCACCATGGGGTCATTAAAAAGTCATTATCTGAGGGTTTACTAAGCTGTTTGTTGCTAGTTTAGCCCCCTGTGTTACTGCTTTTGTTTATTGAGCTTCGTTGGCCTCTATGCTATTTTCCCATTTAATTCGGTGTGCTCCTACTGTGCTGTTAGTATTATGGAATTTGGTATGCAACTGCGTGCTCCAGGAATTCCAGGGTCTGTGGAACTGGGCTGATGACTTTCAGCAGCCCAGCTCGGCTTGAATCTACCGAGATCAGTGGTGAAGTGTGGAGCCGGGCCTCTGCTTCCATAGCTGTAGCTGCAGGGGCTTGCGGCAGTACGGGGCTGTGGGGAAGGCTGCCCGTCTTCTCTCCCAGAAGACCCCAGAATTCTCAACCCTCAAACTGTTATAACTGGAATTTTTTTTTTTCGGTTTGGCATCTCTGTAGAGGTTAGTTGTGAAGTAGTGAAGCTGGGCTGTTTGTATGGCAGCAGCTGTGGAATGGGGGTGTGGCTGCCAGGGCTTCGGCAGGCTGGGGACTTGGTCCTCTTCAGAGCACCCCAGTGTTTTCAGCTCGAAGACCGGTCTACCCATGAGTTTTACCGGCTTGGCTTGCATCTCTTCCCAGATTAGTGGTGAAGCTGTGGAGCTGGGCCATTGCTTACATGGCAGTGAAGCCTGAAACTTCTTGTCAAAACAGGAACTAGTAGTCTCCCATTTCCAGAGCTCTTGACCAGTACCTTCATTATTAAAGTCATCATGTTTTTCTCATATAGCAAGAAAGAGAAAATAAAATAAGAATTCTCCAAAACTTTGCTCTCTTGTTTCTTCTGATATAAGGAGAGTAAATCAGAAGAAGCAAGAGAGGAAAGTGGGAGCAGAGAAGAAAACATGATGAGAGTGATCAGCTTGAAGCTCTGTTAAAGGTTGATGACTGAGAGCATGGTCTGAGCTTAGGAGGAGGAGGGAAATTTTCAGGTGAAAATCTGTATTTTGAGAGCCCAGAGTTATGATTCGGTGGCAAAGTCGATGCCTCAATGTGCGTTCAATCCCCTGCACCCAAAAAAGGGGGGGGTGCTTTTTTTGTTTACTTTTTATTTTCAATCCTCCTCTCTAGATTCCTCTCCATACATAGTGTCCACATTCACTGGGAAGCAGGGGCCTCAGTGTCACCATTAACTGGATCCTCAGAGCTCTTTGGGCTGAACCTATTAGAGTGCCTGAGGCTGTGTCTTTGACTTCTTGCCTGAAGGGAAGGGAGAAGCAGGGAACTGGTGAACCTCAGCTTGGGGAAGAAAGCTGCTAGACAAAGAGGGCACAGCATTGACTGTGATCTTGGTTTTTGTTATTTTGATCTTGATCTTTGTTTTTTGCCAGACCCAGTGGTGCCTGGTGACCATAAAGTACCACACACTAGGTGGCTCTCATGTGGTGCCCAGGGTCTCATACAGATGAGGCATGTACTCCAGCTTTGAGCAAAACCCCCGCTATGTTTGCATTGGGGAAGGGCTCTCCCTTACTTTGGCATTCTAAGTGCTACCCCACTGGGAACTCTCTCCTTTCCAGACCAGCCACAGTTAGAGGAATCTGGATGTCCTGGCAACCAGACGTGGGTGGAAGGGACTGAAGAGATGCTTGCCTGCGTCCCCAAGGGAAACCCAACTCCCACCTTGGTGTGTACCTGGAATGGAGCGGTCTTCAACCTCCACATGCCACAGAAGGCAACCCAGAACCACTCTGGAACCTACTGCTGCACAGCCACCAACCGGCTGGGTTCAGTCAGCAAAGACATTTCTGTCATTGTTCAAGGTGAATACAGTCCCCCCATTGCCAGGCCCAGGAAGGAAGTAGTCCCTCTGGACTTGGGATGCTTATCCAAATGTGGAAAAATGAAAGATTTGTGTGGGCTGGATGGGGAATGGTGGGGAATGATAAAAAGCGGGTCTGGTGGGCTGGAGTGGGGTGACTCTCTTGCCATTGAACCTTCCCAAATTCTGTCTTCTGTGCTTGGACAGGACTGGATGAAGGAATCAGCTGCACCATCTTCGTCATTATTATTGTCGCTCTTGGAATATGTATAATCACCATCGTGCTCTATTTGAACTATGGGTCCTGCAAAATAAAGAGGAAGAAATTGCCCTATAGACAGAAAGAGAAGAACAAAGATGAGGAAAGCCAGTTTGCAGTTCAAGAAGCAAAAATATAGCAGTGCACATACTTGCTAAATAGAATTGCTATTTGGTTGAAGGAGACTTTGACTACTGGGGTTTCTTAAGGAAGTGAGAGGGAGTAAAGGAGAAAGGAAGAGGCAGAAGTGAGGCCACGTTGCCATTTGTGTTTTGAGTCCCATAAAACATGTTTCAAGCCGTCTTGTCCCTTGTCTCTAACCCATCCATAAGCTCAACTCCTTTGATTTCACTCTGATCACTAGAAGTTTCAGCTTCAGCATTTAGCTAGTGAGGGGATGACTTCCTGCTATCGGTTTAACCAGTTTACACTTAAATTTAAAAATAGATTCTGTTCTTTCCCCATTATCACTCTTTTTCACTGCCCACAGTCACAAACATAAATTGAAGAAATTAACAGAAGTATCACAGAATGCAACTCATTTCTCCCAGTTCTTCACTACTCTAGAGGGAATTACTGTCTTTCTTAGTCTGGGAAGAGGGTTTAAGGGGTGAGTAGAAACAGAGATCAGGAATCAAAACCCTAGCCCTGCCCTCATATCCCCCTGATCACCTCATAGGAGGTTCTGAAAAGCAAATCAGCTTAATGACAGCATCGAGGGTTAGTGTCTGGTCAGACTTCAGTCCACTGACCACATATTATGTGCCTAAGGAGAGTATAAAAATTGTAAGAATATTACACAGAAGGTCAGGCAGCTTACCCAGATGGGTGTTCTGCCTGAAATGGGAGATAGGGTTCTTTCATGGAACTGACCTCAGAGGTCAAGGGCTTCTAATATCCCAGTTCCTATTCATAGTCCATTGAAACAGAGTGATCATCTGGAAGTTCACATTCAACATAATAGTTTAGTAACCTGAAACAGGCTGTTCAGGTAGAATTCCAAATTATTTTTCATTTCCATAAAGAAGCATATATTTTGTGCATTTATATTATATTTATTTTATTTTACTTTATTTCCAAATAGTTAAACTTCAAGGGGGAATCTTCGGAGGCAGTGTTCACCATATGGTCTTATAATTTAGCTTCCTTCTGTCTTGAGCTTGCTTAAAAGAAACCTTTAAAAGGAGACAGGAAGAATCATAAAACTAGGGTTTTTCTCCTCTGTCAGTCAGATATGGGTCACTGAAACGTTGAGCATGTAAAAATAAAAGTGATTTGATGACATCTGAATGTATTTCTCTCCTGTGTCATTGTGTACAGATTTTATTTAGCCAAATGATTGTATCTTGAGTACAATTTCTAAGAAAAGAATGTCACACAAGTTGGCAACATACAAGTGGTCCAGGGCAGATGGTGAATTAGTTCCGCACAGCAGCCAATTTGATCAGCTCTCAAAACTAAAATTCAGACTTTGTCTAAAGGTTTACAGACTTTCAAAGTGTAGATCCAGGGGGCCAAAGAGGTAACAGCAGTAAGGACATTTGCCTTAAATGTAGCTGCTGAGCTGGGTTTCTCTCTGACACTCTATTTGGTCCTCTGAGCTTGTCAGGAGTAAGTACAGCTGGGTGTGGCCCAAAATTAAAAAAAAAAAAACAACAAATAATAGATCCAGTTAGAACACAGTATCAAACATAAGAGTGGAAAAGTTCTTATTCTTCCCAGATCTTCCCTGAGCCCTACTCTGTGGATTAGGTTTAAGAATAAGTGTTGGGCTAGAGCGATAATATAGCAGGTATGGTGTGGCCTTGCATGCAGCCACTCAGGTTTGATACCAGATACCACATAAGATTCTCCTGAGCCCACCAGGAATGATCCCTGAGCACTGCTGGGTTTACCCCAAAAACAAAAAAGAATGTCTTTGGTTCCACATACATGGCAGTGGGATCGAAGGATGAGCAAAAAATTGTGCCTGCCTTTGATAAATTTATAATCTAGGATCATGCTCAAGCTGGAGCAATAGCACAGTGGTAGGGTGTTTGCCTTGCACGCGGCGGGCCCGGCCGACCCGGGTTCAATTCCTCCACCCCTCTCAGAGAGCCCAGCAAGCTACCGAAAGTATCTTGCCTGCACGGCAAAGCCTGGCAAGCTACTAGTGATGTATTTGATATGCCAAACACAGTAACAAGTCTCACATTGGAGACATTACTGGTGCCCGCTCGAGCAAATCGATGAACAATGGGAGGACAGTGCTACAGTGCTATATGTTCGAGCAAGTAGGCAGACATGAATGATTCTGCCCTAATCTCGGACTTGGGGAGCTCTCAAGATTAGGAAGGTATCTCACTCAGATCAGGGAACTTCTGGGATGGAATCAGGGGCAGTTGTGCTTGATTTTACAAAACAGCCACTCCCTGCCCAGCTGTCTTGTCAAATGAGTAGTAGAATGTAATCATTACATTTATGAACTGAGCACTTAGGGAAGTACATTAGGAAGCAAATTAAAGAGATTATAGGGGCCTAGGGATATTCCAAGTCGTAGGTAGAGCACATGCCTCGTATGTGCAAGACTCTGCCTGGCACTGGATGTTCTTCCCCATTTTCCCCAGCAATGTCTAATTAAAAAAAAAAAAGACAACCCTCCCACTAGAAGTCAGACTTCTTTTATTGGGGTTGAGGCCACACTCATTGGTGCTCAGAGCTGTGTTTAGCAATCATTTCTGGTAGTGCTCCGGGGATCATATGTAGTGGCAGGGACTGAACCAGGGTTGGCTGAGTGTAAGACAAATACCTTAACCCCTGTACTATATCTCTGGCCCGAGGCTTTTCTTTTTTTAAACCACACCTCAAACACTGCCATCTTCACTGGTATGTGAATAATAATAACAATATCTTATTAATAATAACAATATCTTATTGTTGTTTGTGGGCATATTGTCTGGTTCAGCCTCTATGGAAAATATCATGGAGATTTCTTCAGAAAGCAAGATTAGAGATCCTGTATGATCCAGCAATTCTACTTCTCAGCATCTACTCCGGAAATACAAAAACATCCCAAAAGTTACATGCACACCTATGGTCATTGCAGCACTTATACAGTAGCCATGATATAGAAACAGCCAAAATGTCCAACAACAGATGAATGGATAAAAACTGCTAGAGTTGGAGAAATGGTACAGTAGGTAAGATACTCACCTTGTATGTAGCCAACCCTGTTCAATCTCCGGTACCACACATAGTATCCCAAAGCCAAGAATATTCCATGAACACAGCTAGGTGTGAACCCTCCAAATTAAGTATATAGATGTCATGGAATACTAGACACTAGAATACAGAAGTAAAGGTAAAAAGGTAAAGGCCCTCCCATTGTTCATCGATTTGCTCGAGCAGGCCCAGTAACCTCTCCATTGGAGATTTTGTTGTTACTGTGTTTGGCATATCGAATACATCATGGGTGGCTTGCCAGGCTCTGCTGTGTGGGCGAGATACTCTCTGTAGCTTGCCGGGCTCTCCAAGAGGGGCGGAGGAATCAAACTCGGGTCAGCCATGTTAGCTGCGTGCAAGGCAAACGCCCTACCACTGTGCTATCGCTCTAGCCCAGAATACAGAAGTAAGCACCGTAATGGGGGAAGAAGGGGAGAGGAGGGTAATGATGTGGACTGGAAGTTGGCATGGGGTCCTGGGTGGGAATTCTTGGGTGCTGTGATGGTGGTGAGGTGAAGTGAGGTGAGGTGAGTATACCATGACCATAAATGTTAATACTATTGTAAGCACATACCTAAACTATAATTTAAAAAACAATTTTTAAGTTATATTTTTGGTCAAGCGAGTTAAAATAGCAGGTTGGCAATGTGTTTTTGTTTGGGGGGGAGACCACACCTGGCTGTGCTCAGAGTTTATTCCTGGCTCTGAGCTCAGGAATCATACCTGATGGTGCTCAGGGATACCAGAAATCAAACCCCAGTCAGCCGCATGCAAGGCAAGTGCCCTACCCATCTGGACCCTTGGTAATATGTCTTTGTTTTTTGGAAATATCCACAAACTTCTGCAAGATATTGTGCATCAAAATATTATGTAGGTAAAAATCTTGATTTTCCCCCACTTTATCAGTAAAGCAGAGTACTTAGTGAAATTATTTTTAAAAAGAGTTTCTGAACCTAGGAATTTCCAGTTCTATTTGAGTCTTGGAATAAGTTGCATCAGGTCTGTGGAGATCTTCAGACTGCAAACCCCACCCAGTGGCATCAGTGACCCAAGGCACCCAGAATCACTGGAGAAAGTTCATCTAATTGCACTGTGGGAGCCTGGACACGAACCTGACTTGTCTGTACTTCTTGCTGCCACATGGTGGCACTGTTGCCCGCCTTACACTGCCCATCAGTGCTTTTAGCAGGGCCAACCCAGGTTCTCAGGTTGCCATGGATCTTTGAGGGAGGACAATCCACTTCCTCAGGCATTGTCCAGCTATGAGTTTCCTCACTGGGTTTACAGCTGGTAGAGCGCAGTACAACGGGTTAACACTCCAAAGAGGCTTGACCTCTTTCCCTGTGCTTCCATAGTGAGCCATACAGCCAGAGGCCTGGCCACCCTTTGCCTACTCTCAAACAATTGGCCTCTTGTTCCGTCCTCAGAAGGTCTCCCTGCCCTTCTGGGAATAGTTGCCTTGGCTGGGGAGATGCTGGAAGGGCTGGAGTGCACACTAGGTATGCAGGAGAGCCGTGGGCTCAACTTGCCAGCAAGGCTGGATTGGGCACCAAAGTTAGCTGCCTTCAGGAGACCCTGTCTCTAAAAGGTGTCAATCAGCTCATCATTAACTGCAGTTATCCTAATTGTCTTTAGGGGACAGCACTACCTTTCATATTTTAAGGCTTTCTCTTAAAATTAAGGTGACTTAGGGATTAAAAGAGTACTTATAGGATTTTAGTTGGGAAAAATGATCTAGTATGTCTAAAAACACTAGCATTATGTAATACATATGTTCATGAGTACTTTTACTATTACTCTTAACAATGCCAGTGGCAGTTACATACATAAATATAATAAGCCAAAAATAGGAGTCAGAAATGTGTTGTGACAATGAGGTTATCAAAAGTCACAGATACTGTTTATATCTTTCTCGATCTTTGTGCTGTCTTCCTTTTTTCCTTCCTTTCTTCCGTGTGTGTGTTGGGGAGGGGCAAGGGGCCACATCTGCTGTACTCTGCACTAGGAATCATTCCTGGCAGTGCTTGGGGGACCATATGGGATGCCTGGGATTGAATCTGGGTTGGCCAGTACAACACAAACTCTACCCACTGTGCTATCTCTCTAGCCCTGTGCACCTGCTGTACTCACTGCTTACTCCTTGCTCTACAATAAGGGATCACTCCTGGTGGGGTTCGGGGAAACATATGCCTTGCTGGGGATCAAACATAGGTTGGCTGTATGCAAAGCTAGTGCCTCTTCCTCCTTTTCTATTCCCTTTCCCTTCCTCTGCTTCTCCTGTTCCTGAAGATTTAGACCTATATCTGATAGGGTACCAGTTGTCCTAGTTTGCTTTTTTTTTGTGGGGGGGTCCACATCCACAGTGTTCAGGGGACCACATGGGGTGTCGGGGATCGAGCTCTGGTGGGCTGCGTGCAAGGCAAATGCCTTACTTGCTGTACCATCACTCGGTCCCATCCTAGTTTACTTTGAGCTGGAGGGGTCCTGAGACTAGATTGTGGCACCAGAACCAGGAGAGCCTTTTGCAAAGCAGGATCAGTGGGTAATCCCAATGTGGGATCACTCCCATGTTTCTTAGTGCTCTGGGGCCTGGGGAGCCATCCAGTAAAAGAAACTACGAAGCCTGCTCAGCCCAGGAGCACAGCGCTGGTGACTTCAGGATGGATGGTTTATGAGGAAAGCGGGAACTGCTGGTCCACCTTGCAGACATATTCCGTGGCAGTTAGTTTCCTGTGGCTCAGCAAAGTTGATGGCAGCAACTCAGCGGTAGTCTTGTGAGGTGAGGGCAAGTTGAAATGACGATCATGGGCTGAGAAAAACACTATTCCGGGGCCCGGATTGACTGAAACTCGGACAACTAAGTTCTTTCCTGTGCAAATTTCACTCAACTTGCTCTTGGGCTGACTTTCCATTAGAAAATGTTGAATGGTGGTGAGACATAAGTCTTAGCAGCGTGACTTTGTAAGTGGCGAGGTCGGTGGAGTGCATTCATGCTGGTGTGCGGCCACTCTCCAGAACCATGACCGTGTGACGCCGTGGGCTGTGGTTTCATCTCGTAAAACTGAAACTGCCTCCACTTAACAACAACTCCTGGCCCTGCCCCGGCCCAGCAACCACCATTCTACTTTCAGTCTCTGAATTTGACTATCCCGGGACCTCTTAGGAAGAAGGTATGAGCGGAACCATGCGCTTACTTAGCTTTCTGTTGTGAGCTTACTAAATCTTTTTTTGTTCATCGCTTAGTCTGTGTGTGTGGTGGGGACTGGGGGATGGTTTTGTTTTTTGTTGTTTTGGTCACACCTGACAGGGCTCGGGAGGAGTTCAGAGATGCTCAGGGGACCATGTGGTGCTGAAGATTGAACCCTAGGCTCCCATATGCAAAGCATATGCTCCAGCCCTTTGAGCCATTCCTGCCCTAAAACTTGCTTTAATGACTTCACATTAGAAATGGAGAGTGCCATGACGGACCCAGATCTCATATCCTTTTGCTTCTCTTCACCAAGAGCTGTGGACACATGAATTTTGTCTTTGTACTCCCTAACTCTGTGGTTCCCAGTCATTTTACCTGAGGGTTTCTAAATATATCATCAAGATCCCCACCCCGGACCAATGAAATCAGAAGCCTGGGGGCCCCAGGAGGTGACTAAGTGATAGAACACTTGACGTGGGGCCAGAGCGATAGTACAGTGGGTAGGGTGTTTGTCCTGCATGCGGCTGACCCAGGTTTGATCCCCAGCATCCCATATGGTCCCCGAGCACCGCCAGGAGTGATTCCTGAGTGCAGAGCCAGGAGTAACCCCTGAGCATGGCTGGGTATGACCCAAAAGGCCAAAAGAAAAAAAAAAGAAAGAACGCCTGACATGTAGGTGTGGGGCTGTGAATTCAATCCCAGCACTGCCTCACCAAGCGTTCTGCTATGATGCCACAACATACAAGAACAAATGAGTACTGAGTCCAAGTATGTGTCCCTAGACATTGCAAAGGTTAATGCAAAGGGAAAGAAAAAGCCAGAATCTCTGTAAGTGGAGGTGACCCTTAGAGAAGACCTCCCCAGGTATTTCTCATCTGCAGCAAAGGTGACCACCGTGATCTCAGTGAAGGAACAACTGAAATCATTATAGTGGACATGTCAAAGAATTTAGGGGCCAAGATAAGACAGGGCTGAGGCACTTGTCTTGAACGTGGCATACCCGGTTTCAATCCGCAGCGCCACGTATGGTCTCCAGAATGTGGGTCTGGGTGATCTCGAGCACAGAACCCGGGGCAAGCCCTGAGTACCACAACAAAAGCAAGGGCTTCGGGTGGTTGAAGACAGCCTCGATGCCTTTCCATCCTCGATGCCTTCCTATGGCCTCCTGGTTTCATGCAATGGCTCCCCGTCAACAAGATGTTCACCTGTGCCCCCCCCCCCCCGGAATATCCTTGAGAGTCTCTGAGCTTCTTAGGAAGATTAATTAGGAATTGATTACTTGCATTTTAAAAGAATTAGTGACTTTATCAAATCTTATTTGAATAATAGTTACTTGGAGCTACCAAGTATTAATTTTACAGGTCAATAGTAAGCCAGGGTGCTTGGGTGACTTAAATGGATCCTAATGCATGGGTCACTGTCCATTTAAGTTGACTTGGGAAGGACAAAGAAAGATTTGAGTTGGCACTGGAAAAACAGCCTGTGTTATGAAAACAAGTATCTAAACATTCCATTAGAAAACACGAAACCCCCACGCTTCAGTGCCACGACAGCTGCAGCTTCTTGAGCGCTGAGAAACGCCAATCACTCACTTTCACTGCCGCTTCACACAGGCCAGGCCCAGCCATGCACTATTATTTCCATTCCACCAAGGGAAAAGAAGCTGATCACTTAATCAACAGTGCAATCAAGTTCTAGTCTTTCTTAATTTTTTTCCAGAACAGAGCTTATTTATTTAATTTTTAAAAATTATAACCCCATGATTTACCAAGTTGTTCATAATAGTCGTTTCAGACATTACATGTTCAACACCAATCCCTTCACCAGTGTGACCTTCTCTCCACCAAAGTCCCCAGTTTCCCACCCAACACCCCAGCCTGCTGCTCCCTTGCAGGCACAATCAAATTTTATTTCATATTGTTTGTTATAACACAAAGGCAAAGTGTGTGACAATTCTGGCCCTCAGGTCTTTCTGGTTCTTTCCCTCAAACCACATTTTTCCCCAAGTCTCCTCTTAGAACTAATTAGTCACTGACAGCTGGTAGGCCCAATGTGTTTGGGTGAATTTGTATAGTGAAAAGAACCTGCTTTGTGGTCCTGGAGCAATAACACAGCAGGGAGAGTGTTTACTTTGCACACGGCTAACCCAGATTCTACCCTGGGCACCCCATATGATCTCCCAAGACTGCCAGGATTAATCCTTGAGCACAAAGCCAGGAATAAGCCCTGAGTACTGCCGAGTGTGGCCCCAAAACAAAACAAAAAATTCGCCTTGTAAACATGAGGCTGTGAGTTTGATCCCTGGTGCCACCCACATATGCCAAGCACAGTCTGAGACACTGTAGGTTGCAACAGTGTGATCTGGAGGGCACGGCCGGGTGGATGTGAGCTCTGCCACTTAAAATGAGCAAGTTCTGCATGTGTGTGCATGTGTATGTGTGTGTGTACGTGTGTGTGTACGTGTGTGTGTGTGTGTGTGTGTGTGTGTGTGTGTGAGAGAGAGAGAGAGAGAGAGATGGCCCCACATCCACACACCTGTGTTTGAGCACTGCGGTGGCTACACCAGAACATTGTGAGCTCCCTAGAGTAAAGCCAGGGGAAAGAGCACACGCGCAGGCGCGGTCACTCAGGCGGGCAATCCCCTGCTGACCAGTCAGCCGCGAGAAAGGCAGCAAGGGAGAGAGCTTCTGCAGGATGGTCGCTGTTTCCTCTCATGGTTCCTTGGCACGTGGGGCTTCTGCCTCTGCCCTAAGAGGCCTGTCCTGTTTCACTGCTTCCGCCCCTGGCGGCCAGGGTGGGGTGGTGGTGCTGATGGGGAAGAGCAGAACCTCCAGCTGCTCTATTAGGGTGCCCTGACCTAAGGCTGCATTGTTATCTGGGCCCACAATTTTTTTGAAAAACAAGTTTTATTGGATCACCGTGAGATAGTTACAAACTTGCATGATTATGTTTCAGTCATACAATGCTCAAGCGCCCATCCCTCCACCAGTGCACATTTTCCACTGCCATTGTTCCCAGTGTCCCACCCACCACCTTCACCCCACCCCACTCCCTGCCTCTACGGCAGGTACAATCCTTCTTACTCTCTCTAATTTTGGGCACTATGGTTTGCAATACAGATACTAAGAGGCCATCATATTTGGTCCTTGGTCTACTTTTAACACACATCTCCCATCCCAGGCGATCCCTTCAACCATCATTGACTTAGTGGTTCCTTCTCTATCCCAACTGCCTTTTCCCCCAGCACATGGGGCCAGATTCCAAACCATGGCACGATCCTCCTGTGGGCCCACAATTTGTGGCGGGGTGGACCCCAGGGTGTGGGAGAGAGCTGGCCCTGTCCTGCTTTCCAGCCCCAAGAACTGGCTCGCTTATCTCTCAGTCTGACACCCCAGACACCCCTGATTTCTTCTCCCCCTTCTTCCCCCCCCCCACCCCCTACTGCATTGTCTGCCAACTTGGACCCAGTCCCGGCCTCCTCCCTCCGCCCCAAGAGATCACATCCCACAGACCATCTGATGCAATTTCTTTTTATTAGAAGGGGGCCAGTAGGCCTGGCATGGCCCTGGCTGGGGTCAGGGGGAAGGCGGGTGCAGGGGTGCAGGGGGGAGCAGTGAGGCCGGCCTAGAAGGTGCAGCTGCTCTCCACGAAGCGGCGACACTTCATGACGCGCAGGTAGGTCTCGGCCTTGTGCAGGTCCTTCTTGAAGCAGGACAGCAAACCGTAGTTCTTGAGCAGCGCCTCGTCGCCGCGCAGGTTGGTGTCAAACTTGTCATAGGTTTGCTTGAGGATCTGCCCAGGGCGGGGGCTGCCGTCCTCCAGCTCCTGCCCAGTGGGAGGGAGAGGAAGAGGGGCCAAGTCCTAGGGCACTGTCTCCCCACCCCCTTCCACCACCCCCTCCCAGGGCTCTGAGAAAGGATGGGGGTTCCCCCCGCCACCCAAGTCCAGGTTGGCTCTCCAGGGAGGGAGGGCCCCCATGGCATGCCCACCCGCATCAGGGCCTGGATGCCCTCCTCCAGGTCCTTGAGCTTCTCGTAGAAGCGGTCAGAGGTGCCGAAGGCCAGGCTGTTGGTGAAGATGCGGCCGAGGAACTGCACGGGCCCCAGCCAGGACTGGATCAGCAGCAGCGAGAAGCGGAGCAGCTCCATGTCCTGTGGGCAGCAGGAGGCCATGGGCAGTGGGCTGTCCCCGCTAAAGGGGTAACCCTCTTAAGGAAGATCGGGTCCTCGGTCCCCACTCACGGATCTTTGCTGGGCTTCGTCCTTGCCTGTGGGGGCCGGGATGGTCTCCGAGAAGCAGAAGGCAGCCTGGGCGTTCTGGATGGAGTATCTCTGGCCCTCGGGGATGTAGGCTCGCTCCTGGGGACCAACACCCCTTTACAGGCAAGCCCCCCCCAAGGGCTCCCTGCCTGGCTCCCTGGGGCCGTGTGTCCCTCCCTGGCTCCTCGCGGCGAGCACCCGAGTGGGCACTTACAAACTCCTTGTAGGTGTCGGCCGCCAGCTGGTGCAGGTGCTGGGCCCGGAGCACGGCGTTGGCAAACAGGCTGGACAAGGGCATGGCCGGGAAGGCGGCCACCTCCTGAGGCCATGGCAGGCAGAGCAAAGTGCAAGCCAGGAGCACAGAAGTGCGCAGGCCTGGAGAGAGACAGGGATACAGTACTGGGGAGCGGAGGGTCAGGCTGAGCGTCTTGTCTGCCCCCCAGACACCCCCCCCCCCCGCAGCCCAGGAGCATCCCGCATCGCCGGGCACAGAGAGCCTGCACCCCCAAAGGCCCCGGTCTGAGGGGCGCTGCCCCTCCCTCTGCAGCCTCCCTCACCCCTGCCTCACCCTGAAGGGCTGAGGGGCACTCACCTGTAGCCATTGCGGCGAGGTGAGCTGTCCACGGGGCCCTGAGTGGCTCGGGGAGCTGGGTCCTGGGATCCTGGAAATGGTCCCTTGCGGGGCCCGTTTTATACCCTGGCCCCTCCCTGCCCCCCTCCGTCCCCCGCCGTGTCCCCTCTACATTTATTCACGGGGACCACTGCTGATGGGTAATTCAGAGCCTCCTCCCACTCACCTGCCCTCGGCCAAGCTCCCCTAGGCTCGTCCTCTCCCATCTGTCCCCAGTGCCGTGGCCTGGCTGGCAGCGCTCTGAGGGAGAGACCACCCCATTCACCTTCTCCTAAAGGGGGCACTTGGACCCAGCGGTGTTCTGGTAGGGTGGCCAGTCTGGGCCCCCAAAGGGGGCTCTGCAGATGGGTGCTGTCACCCCTTGCTTCCTGCCTCTCCCCTTTATGCCCTGGCTGTCCCCCTCCACCCCCAGAATCCCACCCTTGCTTCCCTCACTGCCCCCACGCCTCCTGCCCCCACCGCCAAGGTACCAGGCTGATGCTAGCCACCCCCACTCTGCCCGCAAGTTGAGGCTCCCCCAGGGGCAAAGGGCCCGCACTGGAGGCATGGCCTTGCTTCTTGGACACAGATGCAAAGGAAGAGGCAGAAATCCCAGGATCATACGGGACCAACCTGATTCCTCCTGCAGCCCTGAAACTCAGGGTGCAGCACCCCCTAAGGACCTGTCATCCAGTTATCTTCATCTCTCTCACACTTTCCTAGAGCGTGTCAGGTTATAAAGAACATCTAAGACCCAGCAGTAGCTCCAAGCAGCGTTTTTCAACTGGGGCCATATGGCTCCCTATGGGCCCCCAGGATATTCCAAGGGGACAATGGGTCAAAACTGCACAAAAGTATGGGGGGGGGGTTGGTGCAAGACTATGGGGCCACAGAAGGAAGGAAGAAATGAAGAAAAGAGAGGAGTGACCAAGAGAAGAGTCAGGAAAGGTCTGAGGAAACACTGGCTTCGAGCACCTGCCTTGAGAATGTTTGGTCACGGGTTTGAATCCCTCATATACACAAGTGCACTCCTGGCAGCCCAAGCTGTCTGCGCTTCCTGGGGCCATGAGTGGTTTCCAGCTACATGAGCACCTCAGCCATAACTTGTGTGCCTCAAATGTGAGGGTGAACCCCAGAGGCTGGGAGCAAACACCCCAATGAAAGAAGTATAAGACCACAGTGAGCGCCTCCACCCCACCCGTCACACACACCTCGGCTAACAACAATATGTGACCTCCAGGCCGCAACACCAACCAAAACATGCTGAGCACGAGAGGCTACTAAGGCATCAACTAAAACATTAAGTGTGTCTTTTTTTTGTTTGTTTGTTTTTGGGGTTTTTTTTTTTTTTGCTTTTTGGGTCACACCCAGCGATGCTCAGGGGTTACTCCTGGCTTTGCACTCAGGAATTACTCCTGGCGGTGCTCAGGGGACCATATGGGATGCTGGGAATCAAACCTGGGTCAGTCGCGTGCAAGGCAAACGTCCTATCCACTGTGCTATCGCTCCAGCACTTAAGTGTGTCTTTAAACTTTGAAGTACAGAGCACGCCTAGGTTGGCTGTGGTTGGGGCTGCATGGCTGCCTGGGTTCAGGGGTTAGTGCCAGCCCATTTGCCGGAGGAAGAGATGCACCCCCTCCTTGCTCAGACACCCCCACCCCCAAACTCTTCCTGCTCTGCCTCATTTGAGGCAGAGGTGGGGGGCACCCGCACACACTCCATCTCCTCTTTGATCCCGATCAGACTCAGCACTGGCTCAGCTACTGGGTGTTTAGGGTATCCTGTGGGGGTTCTACAGCTTTGGGAGTGGGAGGAGAGGAGCATTGCTGAGCACCTTCGGGGAATCAGGTGTGCAAGACCCTGTCCTATGAGGGACCCTGAGACTCAAGGCAAATGGGCTTTTGCCCATGGCCACTCAGCAAGGGTGGCAGCTGCTCTCCATCTAGGGCAGGGGTCTGGGGGGCACAGGGGGTTCCTGACCCAAAGCAGGGAGTGGATTCCCACTTGGGAGAGGATCAGTGGAGGTGGAGTTGAATTAAGGCACCTGAACCCCAGGAGAAGGCCCACAGCTTCCAATAAAAGTGTCAATCAATCCTCTTAGTGTGAATGAAGCAGCCACATCACCCCCACATCCATGGCCCCATCACCTCATGCCTGTCACCCCAAAGCACCCCATATCTGTGACTCTACATCACCCTCAATCTGTGACCCCCACACCTCCCCACATCTGTGACCCGCACATTACTCTACATCTGTGACTTCCTTGTCTGTGGATATGGAAGCCCACAGATGTAGTGTGCTCTTGGCTCTCCCACGTTACTCCTACATCTGTGACCCCCCCATATCTCTGTCCCCCGTGTCTGTGACCCTCACATGTGTGTCCACATCTCAGCCTTTCAATTCCTGTCTCTCCTCAGACCCTATAGTTGGCCTGAGGGTTCTCACTCGAGGAAGGGCCTTGGAGAAGAGGGGCACCATGTGCTGGTGGGTGTACCCGCAGGGGGCCGTTCCCCAGAGAGTCAGACACGCGGGCCCAACTGCAGTGAGAAACTGGGGCGGGGGCTTCCTGGGGAGTAGCCTCAGCTGGAAACACCCCTTCTCTCCTCCCTGACAGGAACAGACTCTGAGGCTGGGCTCTTGCTCCCCTTTGCTTGCTCCCTCCCTGAGCCGCTTCTGTGTTTAGTTTGGGGGGCAGCATGGGGAGGGGCTCAGGGGTAGAGCCCCCATTTGCCTTGGGTGTGTGACGTGCAAGGTCCTGGGTTGCATCCCTAGCAGTGCCAAAGAGAGAGAAAAAAAACAAAACAGCATTTTTTCCAGGGCCCACCCTCGCGGTGCAGAGCTGACAGATGGGTGCACGGTAGGCTCCTGATGCGGGGAGCATGGGGCTGCTTTGGTTGGGGACACGGCCCACCCACTCCCCTGTGAGTCCCTGCCCTACCTCCCTCTCACATTCCCTTTTTCTTTTTTTTTTTTTTTAATTTTTAATAGTGAGACATCATGAGGTACAGTTACAGACTTACACATTTTTGGGTTTCAATTATACAATGATCAAATGCCCATCCCTCCATCAGTGCCCATTTCCCACCACCACGGATCCCAGTATCCCTCCCACCCCCCAACCTCCCCATCCCACCCTGCCTCTGTGGCAGGGCCACATTCCCTTTTTCAAGCTGGAATGGTATCCACTCTGGCCCTGGCCCGGCAGCCCGGCCGTGCCCACCTGGGCCTGGCAAGTGAGCTGGTCTGGATGAGCCCAACAAAGCTGGGACCCTTCTCTTCTGCAGCGCCCATCAGCGGGAACGCAGGCAGGAGCCGGGGGCGAAGACCGATGGTGAAATGAGCAGAGCCAGTAGCTCTGCCTTGTGGAAGGTGCCGGAGGATGGGCCTGAAGTCCAGAGGAGAGGCTGGCAGGGACAGGGGAACTTGTGGCAGGCCCTGTCCCGGGTCCAAGAACTCGAGGAGCCACTGCCGAGAGGACTGAGGGGGTGGGAGTGTGTGTGTGCGCTCCTCCTGGGAGAGGCAGGAACAAGAGAGAATAACACTCCCGGGCCCGGAGGAACAGGATGGCACAGCGCTTGCTTTACACGTAATTCCCCCGGGTTCCATCCCCGGCACCGCAGAGCCACAAGTCAGTCCTGAGTGTTGCTGGGTGTGGACTTTTCCCCCCAAATCACACAAGCTGGGGATCAGGGAGCGAGCTCCGATGAGGGGAGCATATTGGGTAGCACTGGGAAAGGTCTGCGTGTCGCCGAGGCAGCACCCCCACACCCAAATAAAAGTCAGACAACATACAGGCTCCTGGGGAGGCGGCTGCAATGACCTAAGCCCCCGCATGGGTAAGACCACGGGGTCCCCTGCAGCCTTCGCCCCCTGGCACTGGTGGCCGTCACTCCTATAAAACCCAATAAAGTAATAGATCATGTTCCAGAAAATAACACAGAGAGGAATTTTCAAAGCTCGTCAGCGAACACATGAACCGTGTTAATGAGAGAGGGAGAGAAGTTGACCGGCAGACATGGATGCTCAGAGCACGCCATTGTCTCTGACTCTCGGACACGGGCAGAGCCCAAGCCCTAGTGAACCTCCCAGGGGATGAGAGAGGGTGGCAGGCCTGAGGGGAAAAAGATTGTAGCACTGTAGCACTGTCATTGCGTTGTTCATCGGCTTGCTCGAGTGGGCGCCAGTAACACTTCCATTTGTCCCAGCCCTGAGATTTTAATAGCCTCTCCTCTCATCCTTCCCAACTTTGCCATAATGGAGGCTCTTTCAATGGGTCAGGGGAATGAGACCCATTATTGTTACTATTTTTGGCATATTGACTATGCCACGGGTAGCTTGCCAGGCTCAAGACATCTCTTATTATTATTATTATTTATTTATTTATTTTTGAGAATTGCATTCCTGTATTTTAACAAACTCGGCTCTGAATTTCGAATGCCGCTAGCTCCTGTTTGCCCTCTGGGGAGCTCTGAAGCTCCCAGGATGGGCTCTGGGGTCAGGGAGGGCAGAGGAGGGGGCAGGTGGTGGGTTGTTGGTGTTTTCCAGTGAATGAAGAGCCAGCCTTCGTGCAAGAGTGAGACTGAGTCCCAAACCCCAACTCTCACACCCCAGACGCCTGCGAAAGGAGACCCCCAAACTCACACAGTTATTTTGGGGGATCCATACCCAGTGGTGCTCAGGGTATGGCCCTATTCTCAGGGCCCTATTCTCAGGAATCACTCCTGCAGGCTCAGGGGACCATATGGGATGCAGGGGGTGGAGCTCAGGTCAGACTTGTTCTAGGCAAGTGGCCTACCCACGGTACTATCGCTCTGGCCCCAGACACAGCTTTTGGGTTTGTTTTTCTCTTCCCTCTGATTCTGTTGGCAAAACACCCCAAACCTCGGGGAGAACCGCCCGGTTGAGCAGCACCTGCAGCAGGGGGCCGGAAGTGAAGCTTGAATGGAGGAGGAAGCAGCCTGGGCCCCAGGGACCTGCTGGACTCCCCCAGGGGGCAGTGGGGCATGTGCCCACCCAGGGGCCTCCGAGTTGTTGCCTGGGGGAGGGCGGACCCACCGGTGTCCTTGACTTGAGGGGGCCTCCAAGGCAGGATTGCAGGACTGGGAACAATGGTGGCAGGGGTGGGGGGCATGTCCCCAGCTTGCCTGGCCCCAGTGCTCCACAGTGTCTAAGGGCAGCTGTGGTGTGGTGGAAGGATGCTGGGTGTGGGCCTCTGCACAGCTGCTGGCCATTGGTTCCTCTCCCTGGTTGTTGCGGAGCTCAGGCGAACTGCTGGCCCAGCGCTTCAGGGCTTGAAGACACTATAGGGACAGGGCTCCGATGGGACTATGTTTGGGGCCACAACATACAGTTCTGAGGCTGTATCCTACTGGTGGGTGGGTGGGGGGCGGTGAAGAGGCAAATCCAGAGACCCAGAGGGTCCCATCGGCATCACCCCCCGTGATGAGTCCCGTCTTGCAGAGAAGGCCACCAGGATGAGGCCGCCACCAGCCCCACTGTTGTTCTACAACCCAGTTAGTTCCAGGGGCTGGTCACCCAGAGACGGACATGACAATCCCCTTAGTGCGGCCCCTCCAACAGGAAGACGGGCTGGAGGTTGGGGGGTGGGAAGGGGACCCTTCTCAGCCTCAGCAGGAAGTCTGTGGCCATGGGGCGTGTTTGAGGAAAACCTGCTCTCTGGAGGTGTTCAACATTTGGGGGTAAGCCCAGCAGCCGCCCCCACCCTGCGCAGCCCTTGGTGGGGAGACCCCCTGGGAGGAGAAGTGAAGACTTCCCTCCCCCGCCCCCTGCCTGGCTCAGGGTCCCTGGTGGAGCAGAAGGACAGAATTAGTGTCACTATGCAAAGCAGCAGGCACAGGGCTGCTCAGGGGAGGTCAAAACAGGCTGGGGGGGGGGGGGGGGAGCGCGGCGGGCAGCTGACAGGGAAGGAGTGTTTCTTCCTGGAGGAAACTGAAATCCTAGCCCGACCCCCCCACCTTCCCGGGGGGGCTGCACCCTGAGCCCATGTGCTGCCCAGGCGTGTGGGCAGATCCCTGTGGGCAGGGCCAGACCACCTGTCCTCAGCCACGTGGTGTCTGGGGGTTCCCGTGCGTGCACCGGAAGCCCAGCAGAACCTGGCTTGAGTGCGGATGTTCATTGTCCCCACTGGGGGTGGCTTCCAGGAGCCCCCCAGAGGCCAGCTTGCCCTCATTTGCAGGACCCTAGGGACCAGTTCACAGGAACCCTGTGACTGTTGGGGGCTTCTGGTATGAAGCTAAGAACCCCCGACCTCAGCCCAGCCCCTCTCTTTGGGGTCTTTTATTTTTTTCGGTTTAGATCTGGGGCTACCCCACTGTCTTTGGAGGGCCATGCTGCCCTGGGGGTCAGTCCTCAGCTTTGAGCGTACACTCAGCCTACAGCTGCTTAGCGCCCAGCCTCCCTCTTGGCGACTCTTGCTTAAACCCTGGCTCAAAGGAAAAACAACCCCCAAAAGTCAAGTCTGTTTCCAGGCTGCATGTGGGGCAGGAAGTGTGTGTGTGTGTGTGTGTGTGTGTGTGTGTGTGTGTGTGTGTGTGTTAGAGGCAAGGGAAACCCTGCCTTCAGGGAGCTTTGAGTTTAACTGATGGACAAGTCACCCCAGGAAAGCACGCATTAGGAGGTGCAGAGGCTGTACAGACAAGACCTGGGCCATCTGGGAGGCCTTCCTGGAGGCGGAGGACTTGAAGGATGGCAGGATTGGAATGGGTGGGGAAACAGAAGCTCTTTCGGGCTGAGACCACTGCCCACCACAGAGCAGGACTCAGGTGCAGCTGGCTGGCTGAAGGAGTGTCAGGTGAGCGCCTCTCTGCCTACAAGGGCAGAATTTCTTCCTTGGCTCTGGTTTAGCTAAGGGGAGCAGAGAGGGGTCTGGAGTGGCCCAGACCGTCGTTCCCACCCCTGCCCTGCTCCCCACGCGCCTACAGGTACCCATGTGTTTCTGCCCAGACAGGCCCTCTCCTCACCTGATGGCACTGGCCTGTGTGTGATTTCTCAAGACACATGGTTTATTCCGTGGGACAGAGGAGGAGGGGAGAAGCGCCGTGTGGCCAGGCCCGTGTGCCGCGTCCCTGGCAGGTTCTGCACAAGTCTCTGCCCTCCCCATCCCCACACAGCACCCCACAAGGTGCATCCAGTCTGTCCTCCGAGAGCTCGGCCTCCTCTTGCTGCTTCCCTGTGGCCCTGCCTTCCCCTGCGGCCCCTTGGCTGAGAGTCCAGAAGGGCCCTGGGCGGGCGGATCCAGGCGGCACAGCTCAGGGCTGAAGCAGGGCGGCGGGGGGCAGCAGGCAGGCCGGGCACCAGGTGGCTCTGCAGTGGTCAGCAGGGGCCCAATGGGGGCCCGGCTCGGGGGGCTGCGCCTCACTCCTGGCCGGGGTGCTCACCCACCGACCACTTCACCTCTCCTGTCCGCAGGGTCACGATGTCCTCGTAGGTAGTCGCCTGGTCAATATTCAGGCCCTGCAGACAAGGAAGGGGGTTCAGGTTGGCCATGCCCCAGCCACCCCACGACTCAGAGTGGGGACCTCAACGCCGGGGGCCCCCTGGTCCTCACCTCATAGGTGTGGTCTTCTTCCATGCCAGACTTGCCGTCATCCTGGCGGGGCAAAGGCGGGGAGATGGAGGGTTAGCTGGGCACACTGGCCTGGGGTGGGGGTCAGGGGTCAGGGGTTAAAGGTCAGATGGGCAGGGCTGGAACAGCGGAGTGAAAGGAGTGATTGGATGACTGAGCCGTGGTGGAGGCCGGCTCCAGGGCTGGGGAGAGTTTGTGCGGGTGCCCACCCTTGGTCCCCTCACCTTGTCCAGCAGCAGGAAGATGGGCACGACGATCAGGACGATGATGAGCAGCGTCTGGATCATGATGATCCCGTCTTTCAGCATGTTCCTCCGCCTCACCTGGGCCACGGTGCTGAACCCTGAGTGGGGTCAGGGCAGTGAGCATGGACCCCTCCTCCCCCCCACACACACCCTACCTCCCTCTTGTGGCCCTGCCTGGGCTGGAAGGGGGGTGGGGCAGGGACTTGCACCCCCTCCGACCTTCCCTGGCTGGAGGGGTCCCACACACCCATGACGCGCAGCTCCGTGCCACAGCCCGTGTGTGTCTCCATGGTCTGGGCCTTGCACTTCTGGCGGCAGTAGTAGACACCGTTGTCCTGGGAGCGGATGCTCTTGATGATGAGGATGGACATGAACCCATCCTTGGCCTGCTGGAAGCGGTCCTCCCGGGGCACCTGCTTGAGCTCCTGGTCCCCCTCAGGCTTCCAGAGCCATGTCACATCTTCCAAGTTATCAGTATAGCAAGTGATGTTCACATTGGAGCCATGTTTCCTGGCCACAAAGTGTGGCTGCTGCCGTATCAGGGAACAAGACTTTCCTGCGGGCACCAAGGCCAGGATTAGAAGGACGCGCCAGCTGCTGGCCGGCACCCTCGCTCCGGTCTCACTCCTGGGATGGTCGCGAGGCAGAGGTGTGGGGAGCTGAGCCTTGGGAGAGGCCACAGGTCAGACCTGGATGCCTCCACCTCTAGTTGCTTTTCCCTGAGAAACTTCTGGAATCTCCCCCTGCTTATTCAGCAACTGCCACAGCCCTTGCTGAGCCTCCTTCTCCGCCCCCCCCCCCCCGCCCCCTGCCCTGTGCCCTCTAGGGCTCTCCCAGGAAACTAAGACCATAAGACCAGACCCTTCACTGGCCACTGTGGTCTTCCCCCTCCCCTCCCCTCTGCTCCTTCCTGCTGCTCCGCTGCCCCCATCTGCTCTGGAGCCCCCTTTCTTATAACCTGGCACCCTCCCCTCGACCCGCGGGTTCTGAGAGAAGGACCCCCATGCAACTGAGTCCCCGAACTTCCGGGCCCAACACCCTCAGCTGGGCAGAAGTGGGTCCAGCGCCTCGGCGGTAGACAGGGGCATGAGGTTTCAGGCGAAGGCAGCTGGCGAATGGGGAGACTTGGAGATGGGTGGGGTCGCCCGCCCCCAGCCCCGCTTGGATGTCACCATCCTTGACCCCAGAAACTGCCCACCTGTAGGGTTGCTGTTGTTCAAGACTTGTACTTGGTTCGCAGGCACCAGTTCACCTGCAGGGGGGAGGAAGTGGGCGGGGCGAGGTCAGGGCTGGCTGACCCACCCCTGTTTGCCCATACCTTCCTCCTCGGGACCCCTTGGCCTCCCTACCCCATACCCAGGACACTCGGACAGTCCCCTCCAGCCCTGCCTCGGCCCTCGACTCATCAGAGGGCCAGCAGGGTGAGACGGGAAGATCACAGTGGAGAGAGCTGGGCAGGGGCCCCTGTCACTTGGGTCTGGGGACCATTTCTGGAGCATGCAGGTCTGACTGGGGTGGTCTCTGCAATGTCCCCCCACCTCGTGCGGTGCCCACAGGGGCCGAGGCTGGAGGTAGGGCTCACGGGTCTTCTCTCTTCTTCCACACCCCACCCCTGGCTGAGCCTAATGTCCGCCAGGCAGGAGAGGGGCGAGGGCCACTGAAGACCCTAGAGCTTATCCCCTAGGGTGTCACACCCAGACCCAGGCCCTTCCACTGGGGCAGCGAGGAGGAGGCAGCACGAGGAAGCAGAGGAGGAGGAGGAGGAGGAGGAGGAGGAGGAGGAGGCTGGAGGCCCAGGCCTGGGCCTGAAGCCTCGAGAATGGGACGGGATGCAGGCCCAGCCACGCGGGCCCCTACCTGACAGCAGCAGCAGCAGCAGCAGTGCCCAGCGGCTGGGCACAGGCATCAGATCCGGCTGGGCCATGCTCCCCCTGATCCTTCGCTGCCCCTAAGCCCAAGGAGATGCAGGCTCCAGGGCGTAGAGCGGGTGAGTGCTCCGCTGCCGCTGCAGCCGGCCCCTCCTGGCCTCTTCCTGCCATGCAAATGGAGGCCCAGGGGAGGCAGGGGGAGGGCCGCCCTCCCTCAGTCAGCTGGGCTCAGCCTCCCCTCCTGTGGCCCCAAGCCCTTAGCCTATGTTGGAGTGTGGCCCCTGAGCCCCGCGGGAAGGACAGTGCCAGGGTGCCAGGGGACAGTGCAGGCAGGCCCGGCAGACTCGAGGCCGGACCACAGCTGCCACTCTGGGGGGACAAAGGAGAAGAGAGCACCATGGCTCAGGGGCGGGGACAGGCCCACGGTGGCTGTCACACGCTCTGTTCCCTCCTTGGGAGAGTTTGCCAAGAACTGCTGAGGGAGTGGACGGAGGCGGAGAAAAGCCCCCCACAGTTGGGAGTCAGGACACTCTCAGGGGTCCAAGGAGCGGCAGCTGCAGGGATCTCGGGGAGTCCAGGAAGGGGAAAGCTCTCCTGGCTTCGTCCTGACTGCCAGGAGCTTGTCTGGGCTCCAGGCTGTGGCCCGGCCTCTACAGGGCCCCTGGCAGCTCGGGGGCTTCTGGCCCCCTCATTCTCTGCCCCCTTGCTCTCTCCGGCTGTCTCCCGGGAGCACGAGGATGGGCGCTGATTTCTCTGTCCCCACCTCCCTTCTCCTGCCACCCTGCAGTTTCCCGGCAGCCTGGCTGTTGGTGGGGTTTGGGGCTGGGTGGGCACCGCTGCCCCCGGCCCACGCGGAGGTCGCCTGGAGCTGCACCCACCTGAGCAAAGCCACGAAGGGTGGGATGGACGGTGAGGTTCCATTCAGGGAACAACGTGTCCTGGGCAGACCCAGATGTTCCTGTTGTTTCCAGATGTTCCAATGAAAAAACATTTTGGGGAGACCCGGGAGCGCCCGGGAGAGCGTCTGACTCCAATGAAAAAACATTTCCCTGAAAGGTGTCAGATGTTCTGTTCTCAGGACAAACAACCCAGGAATATAAACATCTCCTGAGGTCAGCGTGGGGGCCCTGGGCTGCTGGTGCTGGAGGGTGGGGGCTGGATTTACCCCAGGCACAGGGTAAACCTTGGGGTCTCTTCCTTTAGTGAACTCCCTGGTGCTGGAGGCCGGGGCTGACCTTGAGGCCGGGGAGCCAGTGCTAGGCAGGACTGGGGGTGGGGGCGTCATGGGTCTGGGAGTGCGTGTCTGCTTCCATGGTACCCCCCAAAACTGGGGAGTTACAGGGTGGGGAGTGGCCACCCTGCAGACCCAGATGCCGTGTCCCACGGGCAGGGGCACCGTGGCGAGGTCTCGGGCTTCATCCCCATTCATGCCGCGGGGGCGGTGGCGGCCCTGGCCCCAGCGGGGTGGTGCGTCAAGACGGGGCGCCCTGTTCCCTCTGCAGGGACAACAGCGCTGAGCTCATCCCGCGGGCCTCTGTGCCCTTTCTTTCCTGGAACAGGTGCTGCATAAGCCTGCACCCACCTCTGCCCACCCCCCTCCTGCCTTTCCAGGAAGGCAGCGTCCAGACGCTGGGCACAAGGGGCGGGGGCGGGGGGCGCAGGAGGTGGGTGTGAGGGCGGCGGGCAGGCAGTGCCACACGCCCGCTCGGCTGTGCTGACCATCTGGGAAGGGGCCGACTGAGGGTTGGCACCCCGATTCAGTGTGCATCCTGGGGGTGGCCCTGCCACCCCGAGCTGGGACAGGCTGAGGGACACAGGGTTCCATGGGGTCTGTGGAACGAGGAAGCCCAGGACCCAGGAGAAAGGGTGCAGGACCCCTGAGAAAAATTCGCTGCTCCCAGCTTTGGAGGAAGATGGTGAAGAGATTTCCTCAGGCAGACTCGCACCCGGGGCCCATGGGCCAGACTCGGACATCTCAACACCTTTCCTGGCTCTGGGACACACTTGGAGCCACCATGTGGGGATCTGGGGGGGACAGAGAAGTGAAGGGGGTGCCTGGAGAAGGGGCTGGGAGAGGCCAGTGCAGATGGGGAGAGGGGCAGCCCTGGCTCTGGGCTCAGAGCTGGGCCCTCCCCTGCTCCTGGAGGGGACAGAGCAGGGGAGGGGTGGGCCCTCGGAGTCAGGGGTCCCTGCTTCTCCTTCCCTCTTGCACTCCTGGGCTCCCCGCTTCTCCACGTGGCTCCGACCCCCACCCGCCCGCCTCGTGCCTGCGCACAGAGAGGCAGAAGGGAGAAGGTGTCAGAGCACCGGGATTTATTAGAACAACTGTACAAAGGGATGCTGCAGCCCACCCCATGTCCAGGGGCGACTGTCCAGGCTGACGAGTGAGGGGTTCAGGGACCAGGCAGGTGGAGGGCAGAGGGCAGGCGCTGCAGAGCGAGGAGGCTGGGTGGAAAAGCAGGGTGCAAGCAGTGTGTGTGGGGGGGTCTCCCTCCACAGAAGGGCCCAGTGGTGGTGTGAGCTGGGGCAGGGGCATGGGGACACGTTCAGGAGAGGACTGGGGTCCCCAGGAGTGGGAGAAGGAGGCACCCAGGCTGGCAGCAGGAGGCGGGAGAGAGGACACACGTGGACACACACACGTGTTGTTTTGGAGGTTTTACTGCTTCCTGAGTTTTAATCAAACTGTTCACAAGAAACAAGAAGACACAGAAGAGGAACTAAAGCCACCGGGGAATCAAGTGTGACTCTGGTCACCCATGTTGCACTTGCACTCACACGCACACACAGGCGCGGGCACACACATGCACACACAGACACACACAGGCATATACATAGGCGCACACACATGCACACACACAGGCACACACATAGACACACACTCACATAGACACAGGCACATACACTCACACACATAGACACTCACACACGCAGGCACACAAGTATGGGGACCTGTGCAATGGACATATGCTCCAGCTGGACACCTCAGGGCAGGCTGACACACCAAGAACTCACATGTGCACACGCGCACATCCACACATATGTGTGCAAGTATGGATGGGTGGGAGCGACCCCTTTTCCCACCACACACACAGGTGCACTGACACAAGTACAGACATGCATATACACACACGTGTGCAGGTAGGAGTTGCATGGGCATTGGCATACATACCCAGGCACGCACACAAGTAACTCAGTGACCACCCTCTCCCCCACCCCCGCCCCAGGGGTCTGTGCCCTCCTCTGGTGGCAGTGGCTCTGTCCTCCTCAAGCCAGCAGAAGCCTGGCACTGCCATGCCCAGGCACGTGACCACCCACTCTCCAGAGGGCAGCACCCAGGAAGTGGGGCGAGCAGGGCATGCATGCCCAGTGGGGCGCCCTGCAGAGACCCAACAATAACAGGCCTGGGGCCACTCAGAGGGGAGAATGAAGACAGAAGACGGGCAGGGTGTTTAGAAAGGACAAGGAGCTCGCTGAGGCTCGGGGGGAGGGGCCCACGAAGCCCCGGGGGTTGTGGATAGAGGGGAGTGGATGCTCTCCCCTAGGTGCTCGGGCTAACAACCCTCCAGCAGTGACACCGTGGGGACCCAACCTGAGCCCCCTCAGCAAAGACCATTCCTCAGTGGATTCCCACCTGCTTGTCCCCCCAGAGGCCAGCCGGGGCATGGGTCGCCTGGACACTGGACTCAGCAGGAAGTGGGTTTCAGGGGCCATGACCCAGCCCAGTGCGTCAGAACCCAGCGACCTGTCCATGCTTCTGGAGCTAAGGCATCAATTACCCTTTGGGGGGAAACTCCCGAGCTGGCCAGGGGACACTGTACCCCAGAGGGAGGGGTGAGGCCCAGGGCCCGACGGTGGTGGGGGCAGCCAGGCATCTGCCCAGGAGCGGCTCCTCCTGGGGGACAGCTGGGCACAATGCTCACATCACCCCTTCCCTGAGCAGAAAGCTCAGAATGTGAAGGCAAATCCCCAGAGTCCCCTGCCCCCACAGTCCCCTGCCCTCGCCCCCGAGGTCCCCAAGAGATGCCGCTCAGTCGCAGGCTCAGAGCCTCTGCTGGTGGCTTCCAGAGGGCAGGGCCAGGCTCCGCTGCTAGACCAGAGACTCCTTGACCCCTGGACGCACCGTCTGAGCCTGGGGTGCGGGCGGAGAAGGCGTGGCAGGCCCAGCGTCCTCCGCAGCACCCCTGTCCTCGGCTGGGTGCTGTGCCGTATCGCTGGTGGCGCTCTCAGGGCCGTACATCCTGTTCATGGACTCGGCGATGAGACCCTCCTTCTCGGGGGCGCCGGCCCCGCTGCCGTCCAGGCTGTGGCGTGACAGGTAGGAGGCCTGCTTGACGGAGCGGCGGAGCAGGTGGCGGCGGAAGGCCCTCTGGATGCGGATGGCGCACACCTCCTCGTGCTTCCTCTTGAGGGTGGTGGTGATGGGCTCGTAGGAGACCTTGGAGGGGTTGGCGGCCATGAACTTCTCCTCCATGGTCTGCTTGAGGGCGTCCATCTCCCCCGAGTCGCCCAGGACCTCCTTGGTCAGGGCGAAGAGGATGTCCAGGCAGTGGATCTTGTCCCCGGGCACCATGGGCAGGTCCAGCGTGATGAGCTTGATCTTGTTGGGCTTGGCGATGCGCAGCGGTTCCTGCAGCGTGTCCACAAAGTCCGAGAGGCGGCTGTAGGCGATGAACTGCGTGGCATCGGGGTCGAACTTCTCCCAGGTCTCGTAGAACATCTCGAAGTCGTCCTCGCACAGCGGCTCGGTGCTCTCCTCCGTGGCCACGTTGAAGTTCTCCAGGATGATGGCGATGTACATGTTGACCACGATGAGGAAGGAGATGATGATGTAGCTGCAGAAGAAGCAGATGCCGATGGACGGGTTGCCGCAGTCCCCCAGCACGCTCGAGCCTGGATTCTCCAGCATGGGGTCGCAGTCGGGCGGCCCGCTGTTGAGGATGGGGTTCAGGAGCCCATCCCAGCCCGCCGACGTGGTGATCATGAAGAGGCAGATGATGCTGTTGCCAAAGGTTTCGAAGTTAAACATATCATCGATGCCCGACTCCTTCTTGACATA